TATTTATATATATGAACAAGAAAAAAGACTTCAAAGGCATAAATTGTTGTTTATTCTGGTTTATTCCAAACGTTTCGCCTGTTAGGGCTTCATCAGTGGACTATCGTATATTACAAAGCAACGTATATAAAACAAAGGCCTGTTACGGTCGAATGACTATGCATTGACTTGTCTTACACATCTGTATGTAAATATCAGTATAGTTGTAGGCGAACTATTAACGTATATTATCAGGCATATTCCTAATTATGTATGTAATATATGGGTGTGGATATTTACACATATCCACACCCACATATTCATAAATATGTGAATACAGTTGTATAGAATATTATTATACTCATTAAAGTCCATTAGCAGTAAACTTCAATCAATTGTTAATATTCTTCCTACACATCCGTTCATAGTATTAACTTTATATTTCTTAATCTCTAACGCTTCTATTATTCTTCGGACATAGGGCAAATTAATGTTAGGGTGCAAGATCTCCCAAGAAATATCTCTAAGTAGGCCTATAGGTCTTTTATTGTGCGTTGCTAGATGCGTATACTGTTTGCAAGCGTACATGTTCTTTTATTCTGGACCCAATGGTGCTGCCAGTTTCACCAATATATACTATATCGCAATGGGAACATGTTATCTTGTATACAGTGTATTTGGTTAAGCATAGTTTGGTCTTCGCAGCGCAGGCATATGTATCACATTTCTTAGGGCACTCCTGTTTTTCTTTAGGGGCCGTTAATATTGTCTTTAGTGAACGCCCATTCATATAATGTACTCTGATATTATGTAACCCTGTCCGCTTAATTATTGCTTGTGCTTGTTGTTTAAGTTCTTCATTAATAAATGGTAGTTTCAGATAGATTGTATCTTGATCTTGATTAACCGAACGTGAGCTGTTCTTATCCATAGTACGTTTAATGGCGGAATAGACAAACGCTTTAGGATACCCGTTCCTCATAAACATCTCTGTGACACTTTAAGAGAATTTAAACGCGATTTGTGGTCAGTTGATCAGGTTATCGCGCGATTGATCTCTCCAATGAGGACTCCTTTTTTGTGATATAGGGCCATGACTATCCCACGATGTTATACACCGACTATGAATGTGCTTCGTATATAGAGTAGTCATAAATCTGCCATTTTCCGGTTTTAAAGTCACCATGGTGTCGAGAAACGGTAGACTGTTATTAATTGGTAATTCAACTGTGAATTTAAGGGCAGAATTCAAACTGTTAGCGATACAAAGCATGATTTCAGGGGATATATCCTCTGATGTCCGCGATAAATATATTATCGATATATCTTTTCAAGTATAAGACATTATTGAACGCAGACTGTATAGCGAGATCGAAATTGTTCATGTAGATAATAGCTAATGTAGGCGCTAAATTATTACCCATAGCCAGACCAGATTTATGTGTGTAACTACTGCCATCTATTAGAACTATGTCACTAGTAAGACATAGGCGTAATAGGGACATGAAATCAGAGTCACTTAGATGTTCCAATTCTGTAGATGATTTGTTTTTTGAGAAGAATTCCGTGGCTGCTGTAAATATGCCACATGTTCCGTTTTCCAGATCTTCAAGGGGAATGGAGCCATATAAATTACATACATCTAGACTACAGAAACCTCTTGTATTATCCCTGTCTCTTATACACATCTAGATGTGTATAAGAGACAGCATCAGAGTCACTTAGATGTTCCAATTCTGTAGATGATTTGTTTTTTGAGAAGAATTCCGTGGCTGCTGTAATATGCCACATGTTCCGTTTTCCAGATCTTCAAGGGGAATGGAGCCATATAAATTACATACATCTAGACTACAGAAACCTCTTGTATTATCAAATTCAGATAGAGATGCAATAAACTCCTCGGTATTCTTGAGGTGTGCGGGTACATAGACAAGTAGGTTATTCAATGATCTAGCAAGACATTTCGATAGTCTAGTGGCTGGGGTGTCGGTAGCTGCATGAATAGGACGGCCTTTGAACTCTCCTTCATTGTGATCCTTAGGTAAGCAATATACTGGATAGGGCAATGGTTCACTACAGATGCTGTCTTTAAGGGCTTTCGCTAGCTCAGGGTGATCTTTATTATGCTTGGATATATCCCCTGAAATCATGCTTTGTATCGCTAACAGTTTGAATTCTGCCCTTAAATTCACAGTTGAATTACCAATTGATAACAGTCTGGCCGTTTCTCGACACCATGGTGACTTTAAAACCGGAAAATGGCAGATTTATGACTACTCTATATACGAAGCCCATTCATGTCAGTGTATAACATCTTGAGATAGTCATGGCCCTATATCACAAAAGAGAGGAATCCTCATTGGAGAGATCAATCGCGCGATAACCAGATCAACTGACCACAAATCGCGTTTAAATTCTCTTAAAGTGTCACAGAGATGTTTATGAGGAACGGGTATCCTAAAGCGTTTGTCTATTCCGCCATTAAACGTATACTATGGATAAGAACAGCTCACGTTCGGTTAATCAAGATCAAGATACAATCTCTCTCAAACTACCGTACCATTTATTAATGAAGAACTTAACAACAAGCACAAGCAATAATTAAGCGGACAGGGTTACATAATATCAGAGTACATTATATGAATGGGCGTTCACTATAAAGACAATATTCACGGCCCCTAAAGAAAAACAGGGGTGCCCTAAGAAATGTGATACATGTGCCTGTGCTGCGAAGACCAATCTATGCTTAACCAAGTACACTGTTTACAGGATAACATGTTCCCATTGCGATATAATATACATTGGTGAAACTGGCAGCACCATTGGGTCCAGAATAAAAGAACATGTACGCTTGCAAACAGTATATACGCATCTAGCAACGCACAATAAAAGACCTATACTTAGAGATATTTCTTGGGAGATCTTGCACCCTAACATTAATTTGCCCTATGTCCGAAGAATAATAGAAGCGTTAGAGATTAAGAAATATAAAGTTAATATTATGAACGGATGTGTAGGAAGAATATTAACAATTGACTGAAATTTACAGCTAATGGGCTTTAATGAGTATAATAATATTCTATACAACTGTATTCACATATTTATGTATATGTATATGTGGGTGTGGATATGTGTAAATATCCACACCCACATATTACATACATAATATGCCTGATAATATACGTTAATAGTTCGCCTACAACTTTACTGAGATTTACATACAGATGTGTAAGACAAGTCAATGCATAGTCATTCGACCGTAACAGGCCTTTGTCTTATATACGTTGCTTTGTAATATACGATGTTAGTCCACTGATGAAGCCCTAACCGGCGAAACGTTTGGAATAAACCAGAATAAACAACAATTTATGCCTTTGAAGTCTTTTTTCTTGTTCATATTTACCAAGGCATGGCATCAACATTGTATTCATCATATATATATATATATATATAACTCTTGAACTAACTCTTGCGACAACCGTAATTTGGGGAGTCAAGATGTGTCAGACTTTAGGCTTATGTTTCTCTTTACCTGTAATCATTTATAAATTTAATGTTTTGAATTTCGTATTATAAATCTGTATACTCATCTATCATTTTCGAATCAGGGTCTATTGTGCGTTTACGCAATAGTTCATCCACCACAGAGGGACGTGTCGAAGTGTATCATCACGGGGAATGGGGTACATTATGTCATGAGAATTTTGACATAAATACAGCATATGTTGTGTGCAGGCAACTTGGGTTCTTCAGTGTTAAAAATACCGTGAATACCAGAATCTTTGGTGCGGGTGATGGTCCTATCCTCTTCAACGATTTAAAGTGCACTGGCTTAGAAGAAAATGTGTTTGACTGTGAGTATACAAACATCTTAAATAAGGATTGTACACACAATCAAGATGCCGGTGTTCGATGCATCAGTAAGAAAAACACAGGTATGTTCAATTAGCCATCTTTAAAGTTCCTTTTTCCATACCAAGCCGGGAATGGATAGATCTGCCTCATAAATGGGAGGCGATTTAAAATGCCTGAAGATTTATTTATATTACAGGTTTGTTTTTGGTTGATACGGTTAATGAGTAAAGATGCAGAAGTATTAAGTAAACGTGCAGGCAGACACATACATACTACTCGTTGACCCACTGGACATGGAAAAGAATTAAATAACATAGAAAAGGGGTGAAGTGGAACGCTATATAGTCTTGTCTCACAATATGCTTCCTAATGTCGTAATATATAGATAATCAACCCCGGGCTACCTACCAATACTCTTTCATATGATCCTCACCATGGAAGAGTACACGACAACAGCGGTGGATCCGGGAATTTGAAATAAAGGGGGCCCAGGGAGGGACTTTCACAGATGGAGGGTCTAGACCACCAACCATAGTGTAGCTTAGGTAGGAAAGTTTGTGATTATGGCACCAACTGGCCTGAAATTGCACTATCAGGCTTACATTTTGTCTCCATTTGAAAACAAAATAATTTTGAATCATATAGGGTGTGGGGTGGGAGGGGGAAGAGGGGCTTCTCCCTTGAATCCGCCACTGAATAAAATCGTTGCATATTACAAGGAATATGCCTACTCTGTGAACCCCCTCCCCACTTACGCGCGTATGTTTTGTGCTCTTGCGAAGATGATGATTATGGATGGCCCCTTATCGAATAGCATTCTCTCATTTAAGGATTCCTGGGTTCGAGCAGTTCGAGTTATAAGCCAATCCGACTAGTTGATGGAGAAAGTCCCCACGAAGGGCGAATTGAAATCCTACACGGTGACCAATGGAGCACGATTTGTGACGATAAGTAAGTGATCTAATTATGATAATTATTGTTATTGTCATAACTGTAATCAACAAAATCATTTTCATCAATATCATGGTCTTCAGTGTTATCATCACTGTCCCTAACACTTCAATATTCTTATTGACACTTATCACAAATTACATAAGTTGTAAAGTATATA